AAACAGCAAGGGACTGAAGTTGGACAAATTTAGAAAGAATATAAGGATGTACCGGTCTGGCAATAGTTGTAGGAAAGTGGAACAAACCTCCAGATATCATCATTCAAGTGAGAACTTTATATAGCTTTAAACAAAGGTTGGACGGGTACATGAGTGGGTGTGGGTGGGTGCGAGTTAGACGTGTCCAGCATGGGCCTATTGCAGGGTTCCGCTGTTCTTTTCTTATGACCAAACTAAACCAATGAATGGAAAGAAACTCCTGGTAAAATTAAATAAAAAAATGCAAGACCATAAACTAATCTATAGTGCAAACCTAATCTAACCAAATAAGATTTGTTTAGGTTAAATACAAATATTTTTATAAACTAGTATATCCAATTTAAATGTTACAATGGTTGCCTACACACATTATTATTACATGCATAAATGGGCAACATAGGTACTTTGAAGTGTATTCAGCTCAAAATCAGAAGTACCTGGAGTTCAACCCTGGGTGAGAAGGAACATATAGGCAATCCTCCTAAAACCTGCCACCTGTTACCTAGCAGTAAATAGACTCTTAGGCATTGGTCAACTTGTAGGCTGCATCCTGTGGAAGGACCTAAAAATTATCCTGGAGTTTTACCTGTTTTAACGTTATCCCAGTGAAAATTGGCTGCATTGCTTAATTTTTCTATGTTATCCTGGATTTTTAACCCTCCTAGGTTACTAATACAAATGAAGTTGCCTTCTTTCAAATTACAAAGTAATGCAGTATGATTTATTTCCAATTGGGTCCCCTTTAACTGTATCTTAATTAAGGCTTTTCAAGTAAGCCCAATATATAAGTCAGCACTGCATTATATATATGTGTGTATATGATTTAAGTCGTAATTAACATGTGTGTAAAAGATAATCCAACTATGAACACATGCTACTGGCACTTGCTACTAACACAGGCATTATTGGCACACATGCTACTGACACAGCTATTGGACAGGTGTTACAGACACACATGCTACTGACACAGGTGTTACAGGCACACATGCTACTGACACAGGTGTTACAGGCACACATGCTACTGACACAGGTGTTACAGGCACACATGCTACTGACACAGGTGTTACAGGCACACATGCTACTGACACAGGTGTTACAGGCACACATGCTACTGACACAGGTGTTACAGGCACACATGCTACTGACAGATGTTATTGGCACACATGCTACTGACACAGGTGTTATTGGCACACGTTACTGATGCAGGTGTTACAGGCACACATGCTACTGACACAGGTGTTACAGACACACATGCTACTGACACACATGCTACTGACACACATGCTACTAACACAGGTGTTATTGGCACACATGCTACTGACACAGGTGTTATAAGCACATGCTACTGACACAGGTGTTATAAGCACATGCTACTGACACACAGTGTATAAGCACATGCTACTGACACAGGTGTATAAGCACATGCTACTGACACAGGTGTTATAAGCACATGCTACTGACACAGGTGTTATAAGCACATGCTACTGACACAGGTGTTATAAGCACATGCTACTGACACAGGTGTTATAAGCACATGCTACTGACACAGGTGTTATAAGCACATGCTACTGACACAGGTGTTATAAGCACATGCTACTGACACAGGTGTTATAAGCACATGCTACTGACACAGGTGTTATAAGCACATGCTACTGACACAGGTGTTATAAGCACATGCTACTGACACAGGTGTTATAAGCCACATGCTACTGACACAGGTGTTATAAGCCATGCTACTGACACAGGTGTTATAAGCACATGCTACTGACACAGGTGTTATAAGCACATGCTACTGACACAGGTGTTATAAGCACATGCTACTGACACAGGTGTTATAACCACATGCTACTGACACAGGTGTTATAACCACATGCTACTGACACAGGTGTTATAACCACATGCTACTGACACAGGTGTTACAAACACACATGCACAGATGTTATGGGCACATTATACATCAACTACAATACATAGATTTGAAGCAGAATAATCATATACATCTAAAATAATAAGAGTTATTTCCATTAGAGTCCACGACTAGTATACAATACCAATCCTTTTTTTTTTTTAAAGAGTACAATGAATGAATGCCCAAACTGTTACATACCAAGCTGCTATGGTACTCTGGCATTCATTTTATCACTCAAGAGTGTACAAATACCATTGTATTACCTGTGGAAGCCTCGGTATTGCAGACGAGGGTTCCATTGAGGCTCAACCACCTACACTACTCAGTCAACAACTCAACACTCACTACATCACCACTCCATCACTAACAACTGCATATCAAATTTGTGAGGTCAAATCAAAAAGGCGCATGTAAACTGTAACTGCTGATATATTATTAAGGCGGGTTCATGTGTGGTGGATAAAAATAATCGGTAAATGTTATGTGGTGGTGTTGGCGACCATTGATGGGGGCGTTGCTGCCTCTGGATCATATTACTCTCACAATGTCATCTATTTTCACTAGCCCACAGCTAGTAAACCTGAAAAGTGAGTTTGAGAAGTCCTGCGGTCTTCAGGAGAGGGTCTTAGATGTTCAAAAGCGTTATATAAAAAAGTACCAGGTGAAAGTATCGATTTTTGGTTACTTGAGCAACGCCAAGTATCATTAGGTTGACGTGGGTTGTCCCAGCCCAGGAGCTAGACTCCAACTTCTTCGAGATGGAGATTCTTTACTTCAAAATCATTGCACATGCAAAAGATCCAGTAATTATAAATCTCGTAATATGCATTTGATCTTAATTCACATCAAAAGATGCATCACACTGTAGTATTAGCTATTAAACTGTGTATTATATTTATATTAATTTAACCCAAAATTTTTATAGACTATCCAGTGCCCACTATCATATTTGTAGTATAGCATTGTATTCATTATATCGTTTAACCTCTTAACGTTTATTTTTAACAATTTGTGCAATATCAGGTATTAAATTTGATACAAAGTCTTTATATCAGTGTTATAAGTTACTTAATCATAATTTTTTACTCTCGACACCCCTCAAGGAAGGTTCCTTGATGTTGGTGAGGGGCTCTTGATTTAGGGAATTGGATCTGTGGTCCAATTCCCCGAATTAAGCCTGAATGCCTTCCACATCCCCCCCCCCAGGCGCTGTATAATCCTCCGGGTTTAGCGCTTCCCCCTTGATTATAATAATAATAATTACTCTAGACATTATCAATATTATTGTAAATTATTTTGCTAATAGTTATACCAGTTAATTACCTTTTATAATTCAATTCAATTCAATTCAAGTTTATTCTCTATAAGGGTTACAATGTGGGGTTTACAGGTTTTGGGTATTGTGTGGTTTACATGTTATACAATACTAATTACAAAGGGGGCCACTAGGACACCTAGCATGGCTAGGCATTTCGAGCAGACTTAGATTAATTCTTAATATTAAATACTTACAGATTATGGTATTAAGGCTAAGTACTACATCATAATTTGTGAGTTTAGCAATGTGAATGCTTTTGTTTTGGCATAATACAACCTGGAGTTTACCTGGAGAGAGTTCCGGGGGTCAACGCCCCCGCGACCCGGTCTGTGACCAGGCCTCCTGGTGGATCAGAGCCTGATCAACCAGGCTGTTGCTGCTGGCTGCACGCAAACCAACGTACGAGCCACAGCCCGGCTGATCAGGAACTGACTTTAGGTGCTTGTCCAGTGCCAGCTTGAAGACTGCCAGGGGTCTGTTGGTAATCCCCCTTATGTGTGCTGGGAGGCAGTTGAACAGTCTCGGGCCCTGACACTTATTGTATGGTCTCTTAACGTGCTAGTGACACCCCTGCTTTTCATTGGGGGGATGGTGCATCGTCTGCCAAGTCTCTTGCTTTCGTTGTGAGTGATTTTCGTGTTCAAGTTCGGTACTAGTCCCTCCAGGATTTTCCAGGTGTATATAATCATGTATCTCTCCCTCCTGCGTTCCAGGGAATACAGGTTTAGGAACCTCAAGCGCTCCCAGTAATTGAGGTGTTTTATCTCCGTTATGCGCGCCGTGAAAGTTCTCTGTACATTTTCTAGGTCGGCAATTTCACCTGCCTTGAAAGGTGCTGTTAGTGTGCAGCAATATTCCAGCCTAGATAGAACAAGTGACCTGAAGAGTGTCATCATGGGCTTGGCCTCCCTAGTTTTGAAGGTTCTCATTATCCATCCTGTCATTTTTCTAGCAGATGCGATTGATACAATGTTATGGTCCTTGAAGGTGAGATCCTCCGACATGATCACTCCCAGGTCTTTGACGTTGGTGTTTCGCTCTATTTTGTGGCCAGAATTTGTTTTGTACTCTGATGAAGATTTAATTT